TTCTGGCAGTCCGTCCTCGTTCGAAGGTGCGCGAGGAGCTGGCGAAAGGCGAAGGCCTCGACCTGGGTCTGTAAGCTCGCGTGTGCGGAGGACATGGGTGAGAGTGACGCGAGCGGAAAAGTGAGGAATGTTATTACTTGCCGGGCGATCACCCGAGCGAGCTGCGAAAGCTCGGGCCGAGCGCGGCGAGAGCCACTGGGAGCACGATGACGGCGAGAATGAAGCTCGAAGTGAGCGTGACGATGATGAATGAAGCGAATTTTGTGAAGAAGACGATGACGCAGCCGAGGAGACAGGCCGCGGAGGCGACGGACGAGAGCCAGCCCGAGGCCACGGCAGTGCCGACTGTTCGAAGCGCGCGCACAGAGCGCTCTTTGCGAGACATCAGACGTCGTCGCGTGGCGATGTACGCGATGCAGACGTGACATGGATAGTCTATACTGATACCGACTATAATCTGAACGCAAACTGCCTCGATTATGCCGAATCGCCAACCTTTGAGAGACATGAAGGCGACGAAATATACGATGACAGAGGCGATGCAAAACGTCGCCAAAGAGGAACATAAGAAGGAACGCGTGCACAGGAAAAGTACGCCGAAAGCCAGCACGATGCTGAGAACGATCGATCTCAACGTGGCAGATTTGATTTCCTGAACGGTATCAGCCACCATCCAGGCTTGAGAGCACTGAAATGCGTCAACGGTCTCTGGCGGTCCGCTCGCAATCTTCGCGTCGAACCAGTTCGCCCAAAACTCATACCCTTTATTCATTTTTTCTGGCGTACTAATTTTCGGGATCGACGTCACCATGGACACCGCGCTATACGCGACGCACAGTTCATCATCTCGTTTATACTTGTCGCACTCATCGTGTGTTCTAAGGAACTTCAGAATCCCATATTTGTTCACGAGTGAGAAGGAACGCAGAGCTTCACGAAATGCTCCACTCTCTATCGGTAAACCGTGCACGTGCTCGTCCCCCATTCCGCCGTTTCTTAACCAAGTGTCCATGTCCGATATCCAACAGTTCACCGTGGACGGTGAGTGCACATGGTTCGTCAACGCGTCGGATTTCAGGCTCGCACAGAAATCCAGGAGCCAAATTTGCGCTCGTGGTTCGGAAAAATCATACGACGAGTCATTGCGCGTGAGCAAGACTGGCGTTCCGACGTACACCGACCTGTCGTCCCCTCGCAGCTTTGCGTTCGCACTCGTTAGAACAGCGTCTAAGCCAAACACGAATGTCACGTGAGCGTTGTCCGAGTAGTGCGACGAATTGAACGTTCCATCCATTTGAGTGAACGTGTGAATGACGTGCCCTCGCGGCCACATCGATAATGATTCATCGCCGGATTGTTTTAGAACGTTTCTTGCGATCATACCCGCGCCGACGATTGACGCGAGATAAGCAGCGATCAACGTCCATTTCGAACGCATCATACGATCGATGATTCGAGCGAAAAGCGCCCGCCGACGCGATATTCTAGACGAGACTACAGTTGGCGACGAAGTGGGCGAACCGGCCGTGGACGCAGAAGCTGACGTCCACGGATTGTTCTGAATCAATGGACGCGCATCGATGGCCATTGAATCTATCGGAACGGACAGTCCCCGACGGTGGATGATGCGTTCGATCATAGGAAACTCACCCAAGTCAACCGTCGCCCGTCGAGCGATGTGACGCTGATAAGCCACCATCTCCACAGGACGCACTAACGCATTACAAACAGGAGCCACGCGAATTTTGGACATTGAAAAATCCTTCCATTTTTCGTTAATAGCCAACACAGATCCGATGACGACGACGGTGACGCACAACATCAAGATGATCTCCGTGGCCATGTAGATGCCGAACAACCTCACGGGTTCTATTGATGACGGTATATTGCTCGCGAACGCCGCCGACGTCGTGAATGAAGTGATCCCGATCGAAAAGAGAGAGTGACTCATCGTCCATTCCATTCGTGCTTGCATCGTGCGCTCGCGAGTCTCCTTTTCTCCAACCGCGACAGAACTTTCGCGCCAGTGATCGGCTATGATGTAGATGTCGTCGGCGCCGATCCCGATCGCGAGAAATATTCCTGCGATGTGAATGATACCAAACCAATCGCATCGATAAAGCTCAAAATATGTCACGTGCGTCAGTACAAAGGTACCAGCGATACTTATAATCCCCCCGAGAGCGAGACAGACGGAGCGAGTTGTGATGGTGATGAGCCCCATGGTCACACAGAGAGATCCGATGGCGAATAGACTGTCCTTGGCGAGGCGTTGATCGACCAGAAGTTCGTAAGCCTTGAAGTGCCTCCATGCGGCCGATGTTTGAGTAGAAACGCTTGAAACATCGCTGTTGAATCCATTGACAACGTTTTGACCGACGTTCATCACCCAAGACGCTGCATTCGTCCTTCGACTGTCCAGACGAAACACGAGTCGCACGCTATGCGATTCGCCCTTCTCTCGTTCAGATCTCGTGACGGCGTTGTTCATCATGAGTCCGAAAGGCGCGCCGAGGGCTTCGATCTCACTCCAGGAAGAAGACCATCGCAATAAAGTTTCAATGCCTCTCATTGACTTGCCGATTTCGGTCTCATAACCAATATCTCGGCATCCGTTTGCGTCCAAGTGCTTATTAATCAAAGCGACAGAATAAACTTCCTCCACCGTCGGATTGACGTGTTCCATGAAATCACATATTCCGATTTTATACTCCCCGACCATGCACCTTACTCCGTCTCTATGTGAGAACACTTGATTTTCCACGCACGCTGACTCATGACACGCGTGAACGTTCGCGCACATCTCTCTATGACTGGCCTCGACGATTTCGCGCGTGAACGAATCGGCACTCGCGTACAAACATCGCTGCCGAATGAACAATAGGCGCGTCTCGATGTCTCCAAGAGAGCCCGAGGCAAGCTTTTGAAATCCATCGAACACGTCCAAGAGTCCGAACAGGCGAAACGCGCCTTCGATGTCGAACATGCTGAACGTTGCCGCGCACGCGCTGTCGTCCGACTGTCTCTCACACGCGTCTCCGAATCCCACCGAGTTCTCCACGCTCATCTTGAGCGTGCACGTCGCTCGAAGTACGCTCGCGAGCGTCTTCCCGTCATCCGTTGCGCTCGGAACGTGAGATACGATGACGTGAAATTCATCCTGTCCATCGCCACCGTCCACTCCGTATTTAGAGTCCAAACCAAGAATCATTCTATCGATTGAGCTCTCCAATCGACGCGTCGGCGTCGGTCCGTAATACGGCGGTGGCGGCGGCGGTGACGGCGGCGGCGGCGGCGACGGCGGCGCTGCGGGCGCACTCGGTGAAAGTATCGTTGTGTTCTCTGTCGTCGTCGAATCGCTCGCGTTCGTCGCCGCCGACAGCATCGATCGCCGGCGTCCGCGCGGCGCCGGAGCGCTCCGAGTCGTCTCCGCGCGCGCCACCGCCTCTGCGATCGTCTGTCCCGTTCGAACGGTCCCGTGCGCTCGAAACGACTCGATGCCCGTGTCTATCGTCATCGCCCGCGTCGACGTCGCGACGATGCACGCGCCGAGGGCGACGAGGACGAGGACACACACGAGCGCGAGCTCGGGCGCCTTGGTCAGCACGCGCGCCAGAGCGCGCACGGGCAACGACGCGCGTCCGGGCTCTCGGCCGTCGCGTGGACGTCGCATGACGCGTGAGAGAGTACGCGTGCGCAGATCCGACGGTCACGCGCGCGCGCGCGCTCGAGCGCGCGATGGCGTGACGACCAGCTCGAGGCGCCAGAATATGAAAGGACTTTTTTTGACGCGACTGCGCTCGAAGTGTTACACATTTGCTAGCGCAAGTTTTCGATGAACTCACGCACCGCCGACTTTAGCGACGGAATCACTGGATCTGCACCGACGTACGCGGCGAACAGAGCGTCGACCAGGGCGCGATCGGCGATATGGGATACCTTTTTCCCCTTGATGCGCGTCGCGAGCGCTCCGTCCGCCGTCGCCGTGAAATCGAGCGACGTCCCTTTCTTAAAGCTCACGCCGTCGAATATCGCCTCGAATCGCTTCAAAGACGTCGAATCCGCGTCCATCGCGGGTCTGATGCGCTCCGCCAGCGCTTCCACGATCTTATCCCCGCCCACGTCCCTCGCAAACTTCAGCCGAATCGACCGTTCGCACGTCTTCAACGCCTCCAACGCGTCCGTCTCCCCGTCCCCCATCGCCTCCCTCACCCCCACCGCGTCGACGTAAAACCCGCACGCGTACACCTTGACACCTAAACCACAAATCTTCTTCACCCGCGCCCCCACGCCCGCGAGCGTCAACGCCGCGCCGTCGAACGTCTGCGCCCTCGGCACCGCGAGCCCGGTCGCGCGTTCCGTCGTCATCGTCGTCATCGTCGCGCTCGCCAGGCGACGCGCCCGTCGTCCGAGCGCGCGCGCGCGCGGGCGAACGCACGCGCGCCCCGAAGTTTCTCGCGCTCGGGCGCGGACGACATCGCGCGCGCGGCGAAGCGCCGACGCGCGCGCGACGCCGCGTCGGGCGTCGAGGCAGCATACCCACGAGTCGTGACTCGACGAGTACGTACTATGAGTCGTGACTCGTGAATACGGAGACTCCAGCCCGCGACGCGAGACGCCCGCGCGCGTCGATCGCCCCGCCTCTTCGCGACGCGACCGCACGAGTCATGGGACACAGTGACGTTTGGGCCTCTCACCCGGCCAACTACGGCAAGGGCTCGCGCCGATGGTGCGTCTTCGCGCGCGATCGATCGTCCACGGTGGACGCGGAAGAGGGATTCGAGCGCGGATGCGATGCCGCGCGCGCGCGACGGCGGATCGAGTGGTGTGCGCGGGGTGCGCGACGCGCGCGAGGGGCGGCGAGGGGTGTGGAACGGGCGATGTGACGGTGGATATGTGCGACGTCGATATCGTGCGCGTCGTGGACGAGACGTGGCGACGCGCGCGCGGTGGACGGGCGCGAGAGTTGGTGAAGAGGTCTGACCTAGGGCTTTGAGGGCGAGACGACTGACGGGCGAGACGCGCCTTTCTCCGACGCAGCCGCGTGTGCGAAAACCAGTGGGCGATCATTCGCAAGTACAACCTGAACATCTGCCGCCAGTGCTTCCGGGAGTACGCCAAGGACATCGGATTCCAAAAGCACAACTAAGCGAGTCGAGCTTAGACGGCGCGCGAGGAGGTTCAGTGGTTTCATAGCTTAGGACGGGGTCTTGGAATATGACGAGATCATCGTTATCACTATACGTTAAAATTAGCCTAGATTCCTACCAGAGCGCGTGTGTCGAGGCGAGGGATCGCGCATGAGCTTACGTCTATCCTCCAAGTTGGAGGAGAGTCGCTTGATCACGTTCAAGCGCGCGAGCTTCTTGGGTGGACCCATCACGACTTCTTCATCCTTCACGACTTCTTCCTTATCGTCCTCTTCATCATCCTCGTCATTTTCCTCGGCATCTTCGCTCTTGTTATCTTCCTCGTCTTCAAATCGGTCCTCGTCCTCGTCCTCGTCCTTCGTGTTCTCCTCCATGTCGTTATCTTCCTCGGAGACGTCCTCTGGCTCGTTGTCGCTCGCGGGGTCCTCGACGGAGGGCTCCGGCGCCTTTGCGAGAGCCGGCGCCGGTGCGCTGTCAGAACGCATGAAACCAAAGTCATCAATGGTTTCATACGATCGAGCAATTTGTTCCTGCGTTTCTTCGTCGTCGACGATCGCGCCTGATCTCACGAGCAAGGTGTCAACCATGAAGGTGCCCCGATAGAGACGCTCGAGACGCGAGCGGTGACGTTCCGTGTACGCACGGCACGCGCGAAGGATTTGCGTGATGTCGGGAACTTCACTGAGTTCATTCATTGAGTGCGTGCGGAACACAGCGGCGAGGACGTGCTGTGCAACGTGGCACGTGCGCCCGTTTGTATTCCACTCTCGAATGCACGTCAGCACGCGCTTGAGCTTTTCGCCGTGCAGCGGCTCCACGCACTCGCGTAATCGAGCGTCACCGTTCGCGTAATCGTCTTCGAAGAGTCTCGTGAGGACTCTGAGCAATGATGCGGGACGCTCGAGAGTGAGCGCGAGGTCGATAGCCTTTTGGAGCTGGCCAGCTCGCTCGGCGTTGAAGAACGCTTGCTCCTGCTTAACGTCGAGCGCGTGCTTCTGCGCCGCTTCCGCGGTCGTCGAAGTCGTTGAGTCTTTCCATAGAGACATCGATGCGTCCGTACCACCCGTGGACAACCAATCACCGTCACTCGAAACGGCCAGAGCCCAAGCTTTGTCTTCGTGCGCGTCGATCGACGACACGCGTGAGCCCACGGTGACGTTCCAGAGGTTGAGCAAACCGTCCCCGCCAGTGGTCACCAATTGGGTCCCGCGCGAGATGAACTTGACGGTTAACACGGCTGCGGTGTGGCCCTCAAGCGTGCGAAGACACGCACCGCTGGTATCCGACCCGGATCGATCGTCGACACTCCAAATTTTCACCGTCTTGTCCCCTCCCGCTGTGGCGAGCACTCGATCCGTGGGAGAAAATGCGCACGCCCACACTCCGCGGCGGTGTCCTCTTAGGGTGGCCAACGGAACCAAGTCTGGCATTTTCCAGATTTTCGCCGTCTTATCGCTCGAACATGTGGCGACTAGGCGAAGATGCGGAGCCACGGCGACACCGTTTAAGGATTTATCGTGCGCCACGGTTGCCGCCAGCGCATTCAGCTCTCCGTCACCACTTCGAAGAGCACCCTCGACGTCCCAGACTCGTAAAACGCGATCGGCGCCGCCAGAAATTACGAACGGAACGCCTCTGGACGATTTTGGGGGGAACGCGACAGCCGATACCGCGCCGACGTGTCCCTCGCCTACAGCGACACAACGCTGCGTGTTCGGGTCCCACAGACGGACCGTGTGATCCTTCGCACCGGTCGCGATGAGCGCGGTGCCGTCCGTGGTCAGAGTCGCGTCAACGCTGAGTACGACCGCGGTATGACCGATCAGGGATCCCACGCAAGACATCGTTGTGGGGTCGAACACACGCACGGTGGGCGAGTTCGTGACGACAGCCATTTGCCTCGGCGCAATAGCGAGCTCTCTCGTCTCATCCTCGTCTTCGTTCGTGTCTTCTTCTACGCTCACCTCGTTCGCACTCGGAACAAAGGCTAAACCGATCACCTCGTCCGTGTTGGCCACGATCTCGCGCTCGATGTCCAATGCGCACGTCTCAGCATTCACTTTGTACGTCAATAATCGCGCGTCGCCGCTGACGCCAATCAAACGATCTCCACCCTCCGAAAGTGCACACTTAGTGAATGTCGCCGCGGCGGCTTCGAAATCGTCGTTCTCATCGCCTCCGCCCTTTTTGAGCTTCTCCGCGATGAGTGGTCCGGATTCAAGGGAATGCTTGGCGGCGCCCTCTCGCCACACGCGTACGCGTCCGCCGTCGCCAACAACGGCAAAGATAACGCCGCGTCCGCTCGGTGGCGGCTTCACCTTGCCGTCTCGCACGATGGCTGTCTTCTCACCCAAAATGACGCAATCCTCGATCGTTTCGTGCACCGCCGTCGTCGTTCGAGGCGTCAGCGTGTCCAAATCGTATGTGCGAATGATTCTGTCCCGACCCGCGGTGAGCAGCGTGTTCGTGTCGACGTCCACCTTGATCGTCGTCACCGCGCTCACGTGCGCGTCCGCGATGAACTTCAAACAACCATCTGCGGACGGCCCCTTCTTGCCCTTTTTACCCTCGCTCACGCCACCGGTGAGCGACCACATTGCCACGGAGCCGTCGTCCGAAGCCGTGAACGCGCGCGCCACTCTCGTGTTCGGATGAAACGCCGTCACCGTCACCGCCCCGCCGTGTCTCCCCCTGAACGCGTGCGTACAGAAACCACGTTCGATGTCCCACACTCGCGCCGTGCGATCGGCGCTCCCGGTGCACAGCAGCGTCCCGGTGGAATCGACGCACATGTCGAGCACCGGAGACGACCGATGCGGATTCCACGCCTTAATCGTCCGCAACACCGTCTCCCCCTCGATCTCGACCACGTCCAATCGAACCAACCGTCCACTTCTCGACGCACAGAACACCTTGCTCCCCTTGGCGTCCATCGCGATCGCCGTCATGGCTTCGCCGTCGCCGTCCGCTCTCGCCAACTCGCGCGCCCGGCTCGTCGTCGCCTTCCGTCCACGCGTCGTCCTCGACCGCGCGAGCGCCACCCCCCCATCCGCCGTCGCGCACGCGTAGTACACATCCTCCGCGTCCACCGCGTCCTTGCGCGCGCCCTTCCGCGCGTCGCCCTTCCGCGCGTCCACGCGTCCGTCGTCCACGACCGACGCGCACGCGATCGCCAACGGCGCCCCTCGACCGACGTAAAACGCCCGCAGCGCGTTCGCGCGCGCGTAGGACGCGCGCGCGATCGCGCTCGACTCCCGCGCGCGCGCCATGTTCGCGCTCGACCGCGCGCGCGCCGTCGGCGTTCGACGACGCGCGCGCGGGCGCCGCCGGCGGCCGTGGCGTGCGTGACGCCACCACATACGACGCATTCGCTCGAGACATGACGCATGAATATGTAAACACACACGGCGTCCGGCCGACGACCCCCGCGTGACGCCACTATATCCGACGCATTCGCTCGAGACATGACGCATGAATATGTAAACACACGGCGTCCGGCCGACCCCCGCGTGACGCCACTATATCCGACGCATTCGCTCGAGACATGACCCATGAATATGTAAACACACGTCGTCGTCGACGGCGTATCGACGGCATTTCCACGGCATTTCCACGGCATTTCCCGCAAAGCAACGCGCGTCGGCGCCCGTGAGGTCGGCGCGCGCGACGCGCGAGCGCGACGACGTCGTGACGGGTCGATCGATCGCGCGGTCGACGATATCGGTGGCGCACGGAGGACGCGCGGGGACGATGATTGGGATGAGAATTACGACGAGCGATCGAGCCGTTCGTGGGTCGATGGACGGGCGACGATGGCGCGGCGCGCGCGCGGGCGGGACGGCGTCGAAGACGCGGGTGGTGGGACGAAAGAGCGCGGTCGTCGGTGGGACGACGACCGGGGTGGTCGAGGCGTCGCGCGCGTACGCGCGGGGGGTCGAGCCGCGGACGATTCGGAGGCGAATGACGCTCGCGACGCGCGCCGGATCGTCGTACTGGAGCGAGGAGTCGATGGAGCGTGAGTTTGAGACGGAGACGATGGTGACGGAGAGTGCGGGACAGGTTTTTGCGGAGCGCGTCGAACGGGTGGACGTCGAGGGGACGACGCTCGGAGACGACGACGACGAAGACGAGGGGTCGTCGGCTGGGAAGCGGGCGCTGATGTACGCGCTCGTCGCAGCGGTCGTCGCGGCGTTCGCGTACAGTGATGTGACCGTGATGTTCCCTTGGTTGGCTCCGATGCAGACGTTAGCGCGCGGGCTCGTGGACATGGTCGCGGCGGGCGTGGATTATTTGGTCGAAATGTTGCTCGACGCGTACGACGCCGCCATATTGGGCTGCATCAACGTCTTCACGTGGTTTCAGACTTTGCTTCTAACTCCAGGTGGCGTCGTGTCGAACGGTGCCAAAGCGTCGCAGTCCATCATGGCGGATCCGAGCGGCGTGGTGTCCAAGGCGCTCGGATTGTTGTGCGCCAAGCCGTTCATGTCCATCGCCGCGGTGTTGTTGACGCTTTCTCGCGTCGTCGTGTCGTGGACGTTCGCGGCGGCCGAGTACGCGTGTGCGCTTTTGTATGCTATGCCAGTGTACGTTGCCGTACCGCTTGCCGTTGTGTCGTACATTCTCATAAGGAAACGTCAGCTCGTCAACGTGGAGACGAGCACCATGAGGACGAAGAAGAATTTAGCCAAGGCCAAGGCGAAAGCGGCGACGTACGTCGCGTCGGGCGCCGCCACGGGAGCGAGCGCTAAATGGGCCGCTCGACTCGCGGATTCATCCACTCAATCCAACGAGACCTCCGCCGCGGCGATAAATTATGACGTCGTCACCGAATACAAGTCGCCGGCCCCGAGAGAACTCGTGCTCGACTCGACGTTGAGCGAGTTCGCTTCTAGCGGGTATTCAAGTGACGCGACTTACTCGAGCTCGTACAGCTCAACGAGTGACGCGTCTTACTCGAGCTCGTACAGCTCATCGAGTGACGCGGAGATTGTCGCGACACCAGTGAACTACGACCAGTACTTCAGCTCAGCAAACTCTGAGTCGCGAAGCAGCTTTTCAGGTATGGGATTGTACGACTTTGAGGAGGCGTACACGAATCGCGAGGCGTTGATGGGCGGATATAGCGTCGATCAGGCCGAGGTAGAGCGCCTGTATGCCGAGTTGATGCCTAAGGACGCCGGCATTCCGCTTCCCGTCTTCGAGGTGAAGACAGAGGAGCGAGGTGAGTCAGAAGAGACAAAGCTGGTAGAGACGAAGTCGATGGAAGCCAAGATGGTCGAAGCCACCTCGACTGAAAGTGTGATTGCGTCCTCATCCTCGTCCTCATCCTCGTCCTCATCCTCGTCCTCATCCTCGTCCTCATCCTCGTCCTCATCCTCGTCCAAGGTTGAGGTCAAGATGGAGGCGACCTCGACTGCGGGCGTGCAAACAGTCAAGAAAGATGGGAGCAAGAGTAAGGAGGCGTTCATGAACTTTCTGGACTCCGTGAAGAGTGGTGAAGTTGTCAAAGGACTGACTTCGGCCGTTGAGCAAGTGGCGACGAAGTCTGGGAACACTCCGTCACTTCCGCCGGGCACCCGCAAGATTTCGGCGAGCGATGAGGAAATAAGCGAGGGAACGGTGATTAAGAAGAAGAACCCTTAATTAAAAGTGTTTCCTTATCTTAATGTGCTACTTGTGTACCCTAACCTATGCAATGCAATCCTCGAAAGCCTAAACGGTACCAGCAAATTATGCAGTCATTTCCTAATTTTCGCGACGCGTCGAAGTTCGGTTGCAAGCGTGCTTACGTCCTTCACGGCGTTTTCTGCCAATTTGAGAGAGTTTCCATCGAACGTGCCTGGCATCGCGAACACGACTTCGCCTGACTTTTTCTTCAAACACAAAATCACCGTACATCGAGCGTCGTATTTCGAGGTCTGCCGCTGCGTTTGCTCCGAGAGGTCTTCCAAGTCAATCGCTTCGCCTCGCATCGCGAGCAGCGCATCGATCTCCGTGGGAAGACAGGTCCACCAATTCGACGGTAGTTTCGACCCGACCGACGCGCACAGCGCATTGACACCATCGGTTGTGACGCACAAATCATCAATCGCTCGCGCGTTCCAATCTACATCGTATTCTATCGCCTTATCATCCTCAGACGGCTCGAAAAGCAACACGCCCGCGCTCGCCAAGCGAACACTCTCGCCGCACGATTTGTCCAAGAAAGCGCTCGAGGTGGCGCTACCGATGTAAACTTTTCGACGTACCGGGTCGATGGATAAGAACACTTTATCTCCACAAAACTTCTCGCGAAGAGCTCCCACAAGTTCCTTGGACACGCGGTGCGCGGGAACCAGCCGATCGATCGCGGCGTCCACATCCTCCACAGAGGACTTCTTCACCTTTTTCGACGTAGTCGCGCCTTGACCATCGCATCTCGTTGCTAACTCACTCTCAACAATCGCGCAAAATGCATCTCGCGTTACTTTGTCGTCTTTCTTCCTGATCTTGGCCACAAAAAATCCACCGGTGTTCTTCGCTCCGTCTTGTGGAAAAAAGCGCTCACACCTTTCAAGTCTCAGTTCGCGCGCGAACTTCGGTCCCGGCGGCCACATCGTCGTCATAAAATCTCCACTACCGTTTACGTTTGCCTCGTCAAACGTTTCGAACCACTTGATGGAGACGTCGCCGTCATCATCGCCGGAGGCGTTGACGTGCTCGCCCACGCGCCACGCGTACAAACCGGGTCTGCCCTCGACAGGCAAGCCGTCCAATTCTTGCAGCTCGAGCGAAAGCTCATCGTCAAGCAACAACGACGCGACAACAGCCTCATCTTCTACCGGATTAAATGTACACGTGGAGTATACCATAACACCTCCCGGCTTGAGTAGACGTGCACATCTGCGTGCGATGGCGAGTTGTGTCTGATGCAACATGTTGCCGATGCCCGGATGCCATCGAACCAAACAATCAGCATCCTTCCGTATCGTGCCGTCACCGCTGCATGGTACGTCCGCTAACACGTGCGTGTACCCACCGAGCTCTAGAAGCGCGTCCATTCGCTCGCATCCGTCGCTCAGCGCTGTTATGCGCCGCCGCTCACGCTTCAAATCGCCGCTTTCGGCGAATAACGGAAAGTGTAAATCCTGCCCGAAAGCGCGCGACGCGAATAATCCCTCGCGCTCACGCGCGATCCGGCAATGCCTATCGATAGCCTGGAGCAGCGTCTTTACCCGTCCTGGATGCGCGTCGTTCGCGTGTACGACCCCGCGCGTGCCGCTTGCTCCATAACGAACGCGCTCGAGCAACTGCATCGTCTTCTGACCTGGCGACGCACACACGTCGAGCACCCTGGCGCCCGACGGCGGATCGAGTGCCATCACCGGTAACATGCTCACGATCTCCTGCCTCGCCCCTAACCCTTCTTTCGTCGCCGTCTCCATCACTTCTCTCGCCCGTTCCGGAACGACTGGTCGCCCACGTCGCGTCTCTCCCGACGGATTCGCGATTACGTACGCGCCCTCGAACGCCTCCATCGCCTCCTCGGTGTTCAATAACGCATGTCTCACCTCTAACGCTTCGTCTCTCGCGCCATGCGTGCGAAACGTCACCGGTAACGGCGTCTTCAGTGCTTTCATGAAATCCTCAAAGTCATTCCCGAGCCCCTGCGCCTTGTAATACCGTTCGAACAGCGCCTCGCCGCACGCAAACTTCCTGTGCGCGATCACGGATGTTTTGTTCCCCATCTTGGACGCGCTCACGGCGCGCCGGAGCGCGTTCGCGTCGTTCCGTCGTCGTTTTCCCATGCGCAGCCGTGTGCGGCGGTTCGTCTGCCGTAAACCCTCAACTGACCCTCGATCGCGCTCGACGCGCCGCACACGCCGACGACGGGCGAGCGCGCGCGACATGCTCCGCGCCGCGACGCGACGGGCGTTGATTGGCGCGCGCCAGACGCTCGAGCTCGACGCCCGGGTCGGCGCGCGGGCGCTGCGCGTGGGATCAGAGGCGTCGACCTCGACCTCGTCGGTGCCGACGGGTTCGACGCTCGCGCGCGCCGACGACGCCACGAAGACGGTCGATGGTCGACGGGAAACGGTGCGCGAAAATGCCGTTGATCAGTTCGGTGCGCTCAGGGCGTTTGCGCTGGACCGTGGACGGGACACGCGCGCGTTGATGCTCGAGACGGAGCGCGCGCTCGAGCGCCGAGCGAACGCGGCGGCGGCGACGATCGATACATTGCGCGCGTCGGGGGTGGTGTTCGCGCGATCGGCGATGGAGGTCGCGATCGAGGCACCGGGGGCGTCGGGCGAGGTCGAAATCGAGGAAGAGGGCGTGGGCGAGGCGATGTCGCTGGCGACGAAGCGGACGTATCAGCCGAGTAATCTCGTACGCAAGCGCAGGCATGGATTTAGGACGCGTCTGCGCACCGCGGACGGACGTAAAATTCTGAGCAGACGACGAAGAAAGGGTAGAAGACGCCTCTCGGCGTGAGTGTGCGAGCGTGCGAGGCCTAGATTGGATTATAATTATGAAGTTGACGCCGTCCCGTTCATTATGCCCCAGCACACGCGCGCGTCGGGGAAAAGAGTTCCGTGAGTCTCCAGACTCGCGACGTCATCAAAGCGTTGATATCGTGCGAGTCCATCGTCCACGTGAATGGATTCATAATGCGTCGAGATACGATCACGACCCCGGTGATGACGAAGGTGAGCAAGGCCACGGGAACCGCAACGTATGTGCCGTACGTGTGAATAAACGCCAGAGGCGACGTGAGTACAAACACGCTGCATAAGAAGTAGACGGTGAACATGTAGAACGGAGGGATGGGCGTTCCTACAACGATCTCACAGTTCGTCCACGCGTCGGTGATGCCGTCAATGGAGCGGTAAAGGCGATAGTACCTCTGCTCGTTTCCTATTTGGTGTTTCGGAAGCGAGCGCAGCTCGCGCTTGAGATCGGCGGCACATCTGGCCACTCGAAACGCCGGCGCTATTCTCGCAAACATGTTTCGCGTTTCGGCGCTGAGCAGATCCTTCGTTGATGGTGATCCGGTGAAATCGTCATCCAACACGGTGTTGAGCATGTCAGCCGTCTCCGCCTTGATTTGAGATGGATACCCCTGCGAACACTCGCGCACGGACTGACGAATAAAAGCCACTAGAGCGTTCAACATGTGTAACATCCGCTCGTGCGACTGTCGATCTTCGGCGGTTTCAGGAACGTGAAACGCGATGTTCAAATCGATGATGATATCTCTGGCATGATCGACGATGTCGTCCAAGTATTTTCGTCCCGAGTAGTAGCGCCGGTGCGTTAAATTCAGCAAGTAAGCAATGCAAAAGCTCAGCACAGGTGCCGCGAGCGAGTGCGCCTCGAAACCCACCAGTGTCTTGCACGTACCACTGTCGTACATCTCGTCGTACGTGCACACAGCTTTCGAAATGAGGAACATTGCCATCGCGACACCAGACGACACAAAGATGTACGGCAACGTCGGCACGATGAGCGTCCCGTGAATCGAGAACAATTCACGGAGCAAACCAAACTTTCCACCGCGAAATACGCGCTTTTCGGGGAAAGTCCATGTAGGATTTGCGTTTTCGGTAGGCTTCATCAACACAGATTCATGTAATTGCCCCTGCGCTCGGTTGTAGCACTCGTTTGCAACTTGTGCGCTCTTCGTCTCCACGGCCTTCACCAGAGCTTCAACCCGGTGCTTCATCTCGTCACTTTCTGACAAAATTTCATGCGTGGACGCGCACGTATTCCACAAATGCTGGCCCATGTCGGCCAGGTCGTTCGAACACATGCCGTTGTACATGAAAGGCTCCTCGAGATGCATGGAAATGGCGGGCAGCCCATATAAGGTCAACGAAAGAATGACGAGTGGCAACCACGTCAAGTACTTGAATGACACCACTAGAACACTCGCTGTGGAAAACATCCACAAAAGCACCGTGAGGTTGATCAGGTGATTCAACGAGTACGGCGTCTTTGTCGTTTTTGCACGCGTGCAACGTGAAAACGCGTGCAAAGCATCCTGTGTGGCGTTCACCATCATTGCCGCGCCGCGGTTGCTTAGGCATCCAGGTTTTCGAGCAAATTCAATCTGCTTGAGGAGACGTGTCGCGATCTCCGCGACTCGTTCGTCCGCAGACATATTGAGTAGCGAGAGATAGGCAGTTGTACCGTCCTCATCGAGAAGTGAACCAAGATGAGAGTTTGCTTGTGCGTCGAGGAAGAGAATCTCGGCATCTTTTTGCTGTGCGCATCCATGTTCGGAAACTCCCCACAAACTCTGCCTCATGACTGCGAATAGTGCGTTACTGAGACGTAAGACAGAATATCGAGCGTTCCGAACGACTTCACTCGGTTTATCGCAGGATGACTTGCTGGATGATGATTCTCGCAAATGCGAGCAGACTTGCACGTTAAGTGTTTGAACGGCGCACATCAAATCGTACACACCAGTCTTCGCCTCCTGGAACGCGCGGAATGCGAAGAAGAATCGGTAAACGAGAACGAACATGCACATTCTTCCAACGATTGAGACGGCCGCTGGGTGGAAAGTGGTATCGCAATCATTGTGTTCTGCGACACCGCTCCCGCACGTGCTTAGCTTGTAAGCCTGAGCTCCTATACCAAAGAAGAGCATGACACTCATGATGGGCCAAACGTGCGGGAAGATAGTGTTCCTAAACTTCAAAAGCTGTCTGAAATATGAAGCGCCAGAGTTAGCCCCATGCTTGCGGCGAACCTGTTGTAATACTGTGGGTTGTTTCAACGCGTTCGGCACCGCTGCTCCGCTCAAGATCAACGCGTCGACACCCGAGTGCGTCGTGTCCTCTCGTCCACCGAAGGTCCGCACAGCTTTTTCGTGAATCGAGAGCGTTTCTGTGTACGAAGCCCATCCAGCTTTAGTCAAATCGTGTTTCGGCTCTGACCAACCGAAAGGATCGTCCAAGAGACTACCCACCTCTGCAATTCCAAACAGCGATGCGGCAACCAACATCGACGGCAACGGCGCGAGCCATTTGTACGATGTGACGAACACAAACGGAGCCGTCATGACAAATACAAAAAGCACGAAGTTCATCAAGTGCAAGAATGCGAAGGGCATTGAGCTGGCGAGAAGGCGCTCGGCAGTTGCGCATGCGCTGATGCAGTTTTCCACGTGCCCAAGCATTTCATATGCACTTCGATCAGAAATATGTTTGAGCCTTCGCCTCTCGTCTATGATGCTGATAATCTTCGAAGCGCAAATTCCGATACGAGCTCTGTAATCAGCTTTAGCGTAGACGTCCTTTTCTTTGTCACTCAGTAAAAGTGAAAGCGAGGGCCATCCTGACATGTCCTCAATGTACTCATCCGTTGTCGGTGCCTTCTTTGTGAGGGATGAAGGGTCTACACCGTGACGCCGTTCTCGAATCGCCTGTCTCATGAATCCCATTAGCACGTTTGATAACCTCCTGATTTCTGCCGCGTCCTCATCGACTTCTTTCAACACATTCGGTGTAGCGTTAATTCGTGACGACCGCAGCATAGTGCTAACACCAACATTGAGGCAGCGGATGCTGTTTACCATCAGACCTAGCGCTCCTTTGCCGTCGTAGTACCTCGTGTACGAGAGAGCGAGCCGGAAAATGAGCGTAAAACCGATGATAGCGCCACTCATCACGTGGGCGCTCGAATCAAACGTGAAAGCGCACTGCGTCACATTCGATACAGTGTTGCCACATTCTCGAATTTTCAACCCGTTCGCCGCTAGAGCGATCGCGCCTGCTAGAATAATTTGTACGGACAGCCCTGGTATGACTGTACCCTGCAAAATAAAAACGTTCGTTAACCAACCTATGCGCATGGCGAGTATGTTTTTCACTGACGCCGCTTCTCTGTCGAACTCGTTTGGGAGCAGACGGGATCTGAGGGATCTCTCTGATATTGCGTGCTTGAATCGTTCCAAAATCAGCGTGCGAATCGGTTTCTTCACCTTAGAAGAGGGCGTTAGCTGACGATTCAAAGATTCAGCCTCGTCTTCGAGCTTGTTCCAATCATCAATCTCACTTCGAGCATGTAATGCGAGCGCACGAAGTCGCTCATGACGCGACAGCATGCACGTGCCGATGTGGCCGAGATCGTGTCTTGGACCGGACCAGCTGAACGGTTCCATCATTCCCTTCGACGTTTCGACGACGCCGTAAAACCCAAGGGCAATCAACATCGCTGGAAGACTCGTTATCCACTGGTAGGTAACGCTGAAGATAAACGGTGCACTAAAGGCGTAGAAGAAGAGTGACATTCGCAGCAGATGATGAAAGTGATTCGGCACCGGCGTCGTTGTCACACGGATGAGTCCTTGAACGTGTTTCAACGAAGAACAAACGCGACGGTATGCCTCTGCACTGAATCGATCGGAAATCTCTTCATTTTGACGCATCGCATCAAAGCGAGCATTCAACTTCATGGCGGCCCAAGACACGAGCGCGTTCGCGGGTAGTGATTTCACTTCTGTGATTTCGTCATCAGTGAGCAACGTTTTCAGTGAGGCCGCACCAGCGTACTCATCCGTGCTCAGACAATCGTTTAGAGTAGCCACATCGCCGCTGGGGGTTTTGCTCACGAGCTCTCGAACAACGATGCGAGTCAAGCTGAAGAGGACGCCCGTCATGCGTTCGATCTCCAAAATGTCTGGTTTGATGGAATGCACTCCGTCACTCTCGTTTCTCGGCGCGGTAAAAATGCATGCACACATTAACAAAGAACGCAACTCATTTTGAAGATCCACGATGAGTGTCTTTGAAGAAACAAACCTCTCGTAACCCCAATCCGTGTTCGTGACGAGTAAGAATGAGATAGGTATAGCCAAAATGCTGTGCGCCGACAAATCAAACGTTACCATGCACTGCGAAGAATCCGTCACGTTGTCGCCGCAGATATCGACTTTCATCCACTGAGCGATTATTCCTACGGTCGCGGCAAATATTATCTGCTTGACAATCAACGGAAGCGTCGTGCCACTCCATGCGAAGCAATCTGTTACGAACCAAAGTCTGCTGCGCCACCTCGAGTAATTAAGTGAATCCACCGTGAGTAACCCATCGTCCTCATCGATGCCCGTCGCGTCTTCTCGCACTCTGAACGCGTCCATCTCTCGCTGAATTCGCCGGCCGAAAACGTTGAGTGGGTGCGCTGGGAGCGTCCACTTGAATGGATTTTCGAGTGCGCACGCAATTTCGTTGACGCCGTAAAACAACCACGCGACCATGGCGCACACGAGCGGCGTTCGCCAATCCGTCACCGTGGACAGCGCAAACGGGAGCGAGAAAATGAAGCAGAACAGAGTGACCGTAATGAGGTGCGTGTACTGCGTCGGCGTCGGCGTGTCGACGATCATCGAGGCGCGTCGATAGGCGTTCAGCGCCCGCTGCGCCTCGCGAAATCCCTCGATCGCAGCGCGCTCGTGCAGCACGCCACTGCCCTCGAGTCGGCATAAAATATCGATCACGGCCGCTTCCGGACGATTTTCAGCGCTCAGTTTTGCATACTTTTCTCGCTCCTCATCTGAAGTGAGCTCGGCGACGCTCGGCGTGCCGTCGCGGTCGTCTGCTAACATCGCACGGGTGGAGACGTCGAATTTCACTCCACGCGCGCGCGGATCGCGCACCCCTATCCGAGATTCTCTTAAACTCTGTCGCATAAACGCGTACGCGAGGTTACACAATCGACGAATCTCTGTGTGAGACGCCGACTTTCGCCGCGTCAACTTTGATTCGCACTCCGCCACCGCCGCGACGTTCCTCAGCGCCTCCTTCATCTCCACCAGCGCCTCCTTCCCGTCCTCATACCGGCTGAACGCCTGCACCGCTCGAAATACCAACAAAAACGACAACACCGCGCTCACGATGACGTGCGCTTCGATCCCGAACGCGTACCGACACGTCGTCGAGTACCGCTCGCTCGCGTCGCACCGAGAAATCTTCAACCACTGCGCCCCAGCGCCGACGACGCCCGCGAGAACGACTTGCGGCGACACCCTCGACACCGACGCAATCGACAGGTGCGCCACCATCGCCAGCGTCCCCGAATCACGCCCTGGCCCTCTCCCGCGCGACGTCGTCTCGCGCCGCGTCCGCTCGTCTCCCGTCGCGCCGAACGCGCCCTCGTCTTCCGTCACCCGCCCATCCCCCGTCGTCTCTCTCGACCCCTCGACGTCGTCCACGGTCATCATCCGCCGCGCGCCGCCCGTCGCGAGACCGACGCCGAGCGCGCGCGGCGCCGCGTCGACGTCCGTCTCGAGTGCGTCCGAATGCGATGGCCCGCGAACCGTCACGTCGGCCCAAGTCGCGCGCGCGCGCGCGGGCGTCGCGAGCGCGTCGCGCGGGCGTCGCGAGCGCGTCGCGCGGGCGTCTCGAGCGCGCGCGCGGGCGTCTCGAGCCCCGACGGCGTCGAGGTCGACGCGCGCGGGTGTGCGCGCGTCGACGCGCGGTGGCGTCGTAACCGTCGGTCTCCGAGGGACTCACGACGAGTGAGCACTCGTGAACGTGACCCATCCACGCGGGTGTCCCGATCCCGAGGGACTCACCATGAGTGAGCACTCGTGAACGACACCAACACGCGGGTGTCCCGATCCCGAGGGACTCACCATGAGTGAGCACTCGTGAACGTAACCGACGCCCATCATCATCATCATCATCATCATCATCATCGCCGGACGCTCGAGCGCGACGGGCGACGACGCGCGCGATGGCGCCCGACGGCGCGGACGCGCGCGAGGGTCGACGACCGGCGCGTCGGCCCGGGGTGAAGCCGGACGCGCGCGCCGGGAACGCGGGGGCGACGCGGCGCGCGCGCGCGCTGGAACGGCAGCGAGAGGGCAAGCGAGACGCGCTCGCGCTCGCGCGGACGCTCGCGCGCGTCGACGCGGGCGAGGGTGAACGCTCGCGCGCGCGTGATCGATCGTCGACGCGTGGGACGGGAGATCGGGACGAGGGGTGGACGGGAGGATGGACGGCGGAGGCGGAACGGGCGGGCGACGAAGACGTCGGGACGTGTCAGCCGGAGTGGATGTGGGACGACGCCCCGGAGGATTTACGGACGAAGTGGTTGGTGAAGATACGTCCGAGAGGGACGCGGTGCTTGGTGGTGAGCGCGCGAGGGAAGACGATCGCTCGGAGCGCGCGGGACGGGTCGACGCTTTCGACGTTTCAGAGCGGACTCCCGGGCGGGAGCGCGAGGACGACTCGGGGCCGGGCCGGGGATTGTTTCTGCATATTAGATTGCGTCTTTACCGGAGACGAGCGGGCGAGGCGGGAGGCGTCGAGCGTGAACGCGCCGTCGAGCTCGACGCCGAGCGGGGAGTATCACGTATTGGACGTCGTCGCCTGGAACGGGGCGTCCATGTACGATTGCGAGACGGAGTTTCGTTTCTATTGGGCGAACGCGCGTCTGACGGAGGAGTGCGATGCGTGCGAGACGACGAATCCAGCGGTCGGGAGAGACTTTCGGTTCGTTCCGACGCCATGGTACGAGTGCGATTCCGAAGGCGTCACGCGATGCTACTCGGACGGCGTGTCGCGAGCGCACGGGTACGAGATCGATGGGTTGTTGTTCTACCACAAAGAGGCGTCGTACGAAACGGGCGCGACGCCTCTGGTGCTTTTGTGGCGAGATGCCAAGACGTCGGCGTTTTTCGACGTGGACGAGGGCGCGCCGACCGTGCTTGATCGAGCGGGCGTGCGGCTCCCGGGAGATGCCACTCGCGCACAAATCATCACCCTGAGCAAGTCCGCGGACGGAAATTTCTTCGTCACGGGTGACGATGAACCCGTCGTCATCGCCGCGGTCCAAGCCGTCGCGCCCGCGTCCGAGTGCGTCGACCCACCGTCGGCGCTCGAGCCCGGTCGTTCGGCTCGATTTCTGGTCGGCCCGGCGGGCTTCGACGTCGACGTCGATACAGCCATCGTACGCGCCGCCGACGTGCACTACCTCGGACCTAAACCGCCGTCGCGTCGTAAGAAGGTCGCTGAGCGCGCGGACGCGCTGTCAAAAATTCTCTTCAACGCCCGCGCGCGGACGTCACCGCTCTCCATCGAGCGTCTCGTCCGCGTCGCCGGCTTGGACGCCATGGACAACGACGCCACGTGATTCACCGCCCACTCTAGATCACAATAGTCACGAAGATTTGAATCATCACACAAACATAGCTCACGCTCGCTCGATCGTCACCGAATCGGTCCGTCCAGCGGTCCGCTCGGCGAAGCACCGACGCTGCGCGCGCGTCCCGCTCCGCACACGTCGTCGCTCCTCGCAACGCGCGATGTCGAGTCCGAAATCCTCCAAGAAGGAGAAAAAGGAGAAGAAGGAGAAGAAGGAGAAGCGCGAGAAGTCCGCGGGCGCCGAAGACGACGCCGAGGGGTCGAACAAAAAACACAAAAGCAACAGCCCCGATGGCGGCGGCGGCGAACCCGCGCGCGTACGCGTCGTTGGTCTCACGAAGACGGCGAACGCGTCCGTCGTGAGCGCGTTTCTGTCCGTCGACGCGAGCGCGGTGACGGTGGGGATGTGGGGAACGCACGGGAAGGGGCCGAAACCACCGGGCGGACAGGCGTTCGTGGAGTTTGCCAGTCGCGAAGCTGCGGAGAAGTCAGCCAAGAAGTTTAACGGGAAAGAATTGGACGGCGTCGAGCTACAAGTGATCGTGGACGACGGTACGCATGCGGTGGCGACGCACGGTGGGGTGACGCCGGGGAAAGAGGCGCAAGAGACGGCGGACGCTGGCGCTCGGCCGCCGCTGTTTGGAGGCGGTGGGACGTCGACGAACTCATCAATCTCAATGACGCACGATGTTCGGGCGGACGATTGGACGTGCGCGGCGTGTGGGTGCAGTAACTTTGCGAGGCGGACGTCGTGCTTCAGATGTGCGGCGGCGAGGAGCGCGGTGGCGACGGGGGCCCCAGTGACTGCGGTGAATACGGCGGCGGCTCGAGCGTCGGCGCAAGGGAGCGATAAGGAGGGATACGAGGTTTTCTTGAAGTATTTACCACACAGCGCGAATGAACAGGAGGTGTATGACTTCTTCGCCGGGTGTGGTCCCATCGTCGGCCCGGCGCGTTTGTTGAGGGATCCGCAATCTGGTCAGGCAAAAGGTGCGGGCTTTATAACGTTTGTCGACGAATCGGGCCGAAACGAGGCGTTGAAGCTCGATGGCGCTCGGTTCGGCGGAAGGAATGTCTCGGTTACTGTGGCAAAGCGAAGTTCGTTCGGCGTTCGCGCCACTGAGCAAGCTTTCGGCACACACACGCCCGCGATGCTGGCGGAGACCATCGCAGCTCTCGTCGCGCCGGATCGCTCGGGCGTGTACGTCGACGGCACGTTCGGTCGCGGCGGGCACACGCGCGGAATTCTCGCCGCACTTTCGCCGGAGGGTCGCTTACACGCGTTCGACATGGATCCGGAGGCGATTAAGGTTGGTAAAGATCTCGAAAAAGAGGACTCGCGCTTTACCATTCATCACGCCCCGTTTGGCTGCATGGCACAGGTCCTGAAACCGCTGGGGATCACGCCCTCGGGCGTTTTCTTAGATTTAGGAATCTCATCTCCGCAGTTTGACGACGCATCGCGCGGTTTCAGGCCGGAACAGGACGGACCGCTCGATTTACGATTTGACGTCGAGCGCGGCGTTCCGGCGAGCGAGTACCTCCGACTTGTATCGCGAGAGGAGCTGCGCCGGGTGATTCATGAGTATGGCGAAACCACAGACCTAGCCGCGTCGCGACGCATCGCGGATGCTGTTGTTCTTGCCCGCGAGAGTGGCACACTCCCAAGCACGACGAAAGAGTTCGCCGCCCTCGTAGCCAAGGCGAAGGGCAAGGAGTATCAGGCGATGCACCCGGCCAAGCTCACCTTTCAGGCTCTGCGCATCGTTCTCAACCAAGAGTTCGACGAAATGCGACGGGGGATGCACGGTGCGTTTGAGATCATGCCAGAGCACGGTCGGCTAGGGATACTCACCTGGAAGCACAGCGAGTGCGCCATCGTAGTCGACTTTTTCCGTGACTACGAAGTCATTCGAGACGACTTCCCGCTGTACGTTTGGGCGCGCGCAAACCACGCCGATAAGTGCACGAAAAAACTTGAGCGCAAGTGGGGGCTTCACATGGACGACGCTCAACGCCCGAGCGAGGCGGAAATGCGCGCGAATAGTCGTTCTCGCAGCGCCGTCCTGCACGTCTTGCGCAAGCGCGAAGCCGTGCGCATCGCAGACCTCGAGCGCGTCGCGTACAAGTTGAAGGGCTGGGGCAAGATACCCGATCCCGCACCACCGCCGCCCGTGACGTTCAAGTACGACGTTAAGAAGTAGGCGCGGCGATGTAGGAGCGTACGAATCGTTTGCTCGCTTAGTTTGTCATCCATTGAAAAGTTAACCACCGCAGAAGGCGTCCAGCCCCCACCCAGCCGCAGCGCTGCACCCACACTGCGCGACGCGCGCGTCGTGCACGACCTCTCGCACGCGTCATGCACGTCATCGCGCCCGTCGCCCGGGTCCGTGCGGTCGTGCGCGTGCGCGCGTTCGGCGACGCGGACGCCACCAATGCGGCGGCGTCCCAGCCGCGCCCCAAGGCGTGTCCGGTGTGTAAGGGCACCGGCATGAAGCCCTGCGGACAGTGCGAGGGCACGGGCAAGAATCGCGAGGACCTCTTCGGTGGGCGGTATAAGGCCGGGGACGCATGCTGGCTGTGCTCTGGCAAGGCGAAGACGATGTGCGGGAACTGCGTCGACCTCACGGATACGTTTTGAGCCGCTCGCGAACACGATGTTGTACAATATTAAATGAAATGAATCGAAAGGGTCGATCCTGACGCTCACCCGTGCGCGTCCGCGGCGCGTCGACCAGCTTCGCGTCCGTTGTTGTAATCCGCTCGAGCGATGAGCTCGCTCGCGAGCGCTGACGCGTCGGCCCAGGACGCCGCACCGGTTCGCGCGTTCTCCAAAACCCCACTCAGATAGTCGCGCTGACGCCGCGTGACAAAGTGCACGCAATTCATCGGACACTGCGTCGCGGCGACCCACTCGTCGTACGCCTCGGCGCCGTCTTCTACCGGTGGCTCTCGCTCAAGCGCTCGAGCGCTTCCGGTGTCGCTCGCACGCTCAAACGACCGCGGTGCCTTCCTAGCGCACGAAGCCGAGCAGTTCGCCTCCCCGACGCACCGCGTCTCATCCACAAACGCCCAACGCGCACCGTCGAACTCGATCTCCAACGCCGTCGCGCTGAACGGATCTTCCAACGCCTCCCTCGCGCTTCGTAGCTCGCGCCCGCTCGCGAGCGCTCGCGCCAACCCCTCTCGCGCCTCAATCGCCGCCATCGCCGCCGCCTCGGACCCCCCCGCGTCTGGATGCTTCTGTAACATCGTCCTGCGATACGCCGATCGAACGTCGTCCAACGTACGCGGGACGTCGTCCAGGTCGAGCGCGTCGCACCACCGCGCGAGGTCCGAGCTCGACGGATTCAAACCGGCTCTCACGCGCGCGTCTCGACGATCGGGCGCTCGTCGAGCTCCAACGCGACGTATACGACACCAACGCGTCGTCTCGTCTCCTCGCTCACGTCCGAACACACTCGCGCGCGTCGTCGTCGTCCTTGAACTCCCCGAAAGTTGGTTACGAATCGCCATCACGCGTCGCGGATCTCCTCCTTCGTCCCCTCGATGGTCGTCTTCACCGCCAGACACGTGGGCGAGACGGTGACGGTGGACCTTCCAGACGCGCCGCCGCCGACGTACGCCGACGCGTGTCGCGCGCTGGCGCGTGCGCTCGATCTGGATGTCCAAACCGTGCGCGTGCACGGCGCGCGAGAGTGCCGAGGACGCACCGCGAGCGTCGACGACGACGCGATAGCGCTCCCGAGCGACTGCGCGACGCGTAAGTACATGGTGAGCGGGACGACGCGTGGGATCGTGGACGCGATCAACGGGATGGCGCGGACGGATGCGCGGATTCGAGATTTCGAGGAGGAGACCGCTCGCGAGCGCTCGAGACGGGGCGAACGAACGTCGAGTGCCGCCGCGTCGACGTCGAAATATTTCGGTGAGATCGAAGTGCTAGACGTTCCGAGTGGGATGCCGAGTCGCGAACGGGCGATGGAGGTGCTGAGGCGTTTAGCGAGCGATCCCGGGATCACCGGAGTCATGGACGCGCACGGATGGTACGGCGGGCGGCGCGTCGGGAAATTGTGCGAGATGCCGCCGGAGGGTAAGGTGGGCCTGAGCGAGATGTGTGTGCTGGGGTACAACGTGAACAACGGACGGGAAATTCACCTGCGATTAAGAACTGATGACTACCTCGGGTTTAGGGACTACGTCACCGTTCGCAAGACGCTCCTGCACGAACTCGCGCACAACGTGCACTCCAATCACGGTCCGGAGTTTCGGGCTCTGAACTCGCAGCTCAACGCCGAGTGCGAGCGATTCGATTGGAAGCGCGCGTCGAGCGCGCGCGTGACGAGCCGCGCCGCCGAGGCGTACCAACCGCGCGACGCGGACGCCCGCGTCGAAGCGCCCGTCGCGCGGTCCCTCGGCGCCGTCGCCGACGTCGCGCGCACGACGGACGATGTTCGCGCGCGACGTCTCGCGAAATTCGCCGCGTTCAACGCCGCCGACGCCGCCGACGAAGCGAGCGCATCGTCTCGAGCGGGCGGCGTCGACGAGGACGCGTAGTGCGAACCAGACGCGCACCTCAAAACGCGCGCCAAAAGTCGATCGTCGCGTTCCGTGGTATCTAGCTTCCCCTTGTGACTCCTTCACGAATCATGACTCGTGACGCTGACACAAAAAGCAAAATATCTTCGTCGCGGGAATGCCAGCTGGCAATGCCAGCTGGCACCCGCGAGGTTAATCATTCACCCGCGATACGCGCGCGCCGCACTTCGCGACGAGCGAACGCGTGCGACATCGTCCCCGACGAGCGCGCCCGAGCGATCGATATTCTTTCTAATCGAACGCGCGACTCGTTGAGATGAGCGAAGGGGAGAAGAGGACGACGCCCGCGCCGGGGAAGGACCCCTTAAATTTCAAGGATGAATCCAACATCACTCGATTCGTTCGACCGAACCGTTGGCTCTCGCTCGACATCGCGGGGAAACCGGTGCGTTTGGCGAACGAAAAATTATAGCATCGATCGACGGCGGCGCGAACGCGAACGCGAACGCGCGAGAGGGGCGTGAGAGAAAAAAACGGCGGGGACGCGACACGTCGGTCGAGTCGCTGAACCGAACTGTCGTGCTAAACTGTAGCCAATCAGATTTCTCGAAACGTACATGCGATGCACATGGGGTTCCATTTAATTATGTATGAGGATACGTGATTTGCGCATCGACGACTGACTGACCGCGGCGCGTGTTCGTTACAGATGCTCCGAATTAATTGGGTGAGCGCCGGTCTCGCCTCGCTGGTTCTTTGGGGTTTCGTTATCTGGGCGCTCTCGGCCGGGGTCAACGCGGCGACGGAAGTGAAGGGATGGCAAGCCTGGATCACTGTGAACTGGACGTGGCTGTACATTCTCACGCAGGATGTCTGGTTCATCTTCATCATCTATCTCCTGTTCACCAAGTTCAAGGACGTGAAGCTCGGTCGCGATGACGAAGAGCCCGCGTTCTCGGACTACGAGTGGTTCTCCATGTTGTTTGCGTGCGGTATCGGCGTCGGGTTGTACACGTACGGCGTCGCCGAACCGATGTGGTACTACCGGATGAACTATTACAACCCGCAAAAGATTCCCATCAACAACGATGATCAGCGTGCGCAGCAGGCAATTTTTATCACGCTGTTCCACTGGGGTATCCACGGATGGATTCCGTACGTCCTCGTTGCCATCACTCTCGGTGTCGTCTGCTACCGCCATGGTCGCCCGATGACCATCCGCGCAGCTTTCTTCCCGCTCTTGGGCGAGAACGTCAACGGTCTCATCGGTGACCTCATCGACGCGCTTTCCATTTCGTGCACCACGTTCGGTGTGTGCACGAGCCTTGGCCTTGGTGTCACAACGATCGCGACTACCATTGCCCGACTCAACTCTGACGTCGATCCAAATTCAGACACGACCAAGGGCTTGATCATCTGGATCATCACCGGTATCGCGTGCGGTTCCGTGCTCATGGGTTTGAAGAATGGCATTCGTGTGCTTTCTAAGATTACTTTCTCCATCGGACTGATCTTCTTGGGTGCCCTCTACGCCCTTGACGATCCGATGTTCCTGTTGAGCAGCGTCACGCAGTCCATCGGACACTACTTGCAGTGGATCACCGTCGTCGGCTGGGACTGCGATGCTTGGCCTATTTTGACCCAAGGTCTCCTCGGTGCCGGTACAAACGGCTGGACACATGACGATGGCTCTTGGAAGACCACCGCTAAGTCCTGGGCTGGATATGCTCTCGGCAAGTCTAACGAGCATAACGTCATCGACGCCGTCCGCGCGACCGCAGGTGGCGAGCTCGATGCAACCGCTATGTGGGGTAAGCGTACTTATTTCGGCTTCATGGACGACTGGACTATCTTCTACTGGGGTTGGTGGATCTCTTGGGCCCCGTTTGTCGGCATGTTCATCGCCCGCATTTCTCGTGGCAGAACCGTTGGCCAACTCATCAAGGGTGCATTTATCGCTCCCATTCTTTTTGGCTTTGTCTACCTGACCACGCTCGGTTCTCTCGGTATCAAGATGCAACGCGTCGCTGAGAGTGCCATCGGTACGAACTCATCCGTCGATTGGAGCGGCAACTCCGTCGACTGCGACGCTTTCGGCTACGGCGAGACGAAGATGCTCAATATGACCTCAGCTGGTTACGCTGCGGGCAAGCAGCTTCAAGACGCCGGTTACTACCCGTTGTCGTGCAGAAACGGGTCCGATCACATTCTTGATGTCGTTGAGCCGTACGGTAAGTTGGCGCGACCTCTCCAAACGCTCATCCTCATCGCCGTCTCTCTCTACTTCATCACGTCTTCGGATAGCGGTTCGTACGTCGATGACTTGATCTCCGCCATGGGCTACGAAAACCCACCGGTGTTACAAAAGGTGTACTGGTGCTTCACCGAAGGCGCGCTCGCGACTGCTCTCGTCTACAGTGGTGGTTTGAAAATGGTCCAAGCCGTTTCCATCGTCGCCGGCTTCCCTTACACTTTGGCTCTCAATTTTATGTGCATCAGCCTCTGGCGCGCACTTCTTGACGAAGACGAGAATGAAGAGCATCGTCGCAAGAGAAAGAGTTTCAACACTTGTCTTTTCGATTTCCTCGAGGCTTTCAAGCCTGACACGGCGACATCGAACGCTCCGAATGCTCGTGAGCGTACGATTTGTGCTCTCAAGAACTTCATCTTCCCGTATGAATCCATCGTGAAGTGCAAGCGCGCCACCGGCGCCAGCGAACAGATTGCCATGATCCATGGTGGCATCATCACCGGTCTGCTCTGGACCTTTATCGGTCTCCTCGCTTCAACGAAGGCTGGCGCGAACGCGCACGGCGTCGCCTGGTTGATGTTCTTCATCTTTGTGTTCTGCGTTGCCAGTATTCGCAGAGAGTTGCGCACCGCCAGAAACATCATCGGTGGCGCCATGGAAGACTTCTGTTCCGTCGGTGCTCTGTTCCCGTTCGCGCTCGCGCAAATGGAACACGAAGCCGAATGCATCGAAAAGATGGCATAAACAATCCACCAAAACAGCTATCATAATCAAGCAACCTCGTAAGGTGAAGACTTGATTGTGTGTTCGTCAGTCCTCAATAATTTATTACGCTATTACGCACCGATCCAACGTGTGCACTCAGGCGTCCTACATGGCGCTTTCTGCACGATAGAACCGAATTGTCCTGTTGTTTGTCCTGTTGTTAGACGTGTTGTTCATTGTCCAAACGTTTTGTTTTAATATTAAATCGGATGAAAATACCGGTACCGGTAGTCGCGCGTGCGTTTTGCTCTACACAACTCGACTCTGCGCCTCGCGCGAGCACCATCTCACGCCGCGTCCGCGACTACCGCGCGCCCACTCGAACGCGTCGGTCACCGCGCGTCGCTCATGTCCACCCGCGTCTTCACCGCCCTCTCCCGCGCGCGTGGATTCGCTTCAACGTCGGCGCGTCGACGAAAACTGCACGCGCACGCCGGCGGCGGCTCCGACCGCCTCGAGCGCATCGCGAGCGGCGACAACGACGCCGTCAAGCGCTTCGCCAAGCTGTGCAAGTCAAAATCTTTTCGCGACGCCGAACGCTCGGTGGTGTTGGCGTCGAGCGTGCTCATGCGCGAGTGCTTCGTGAGTCGAGGCGGCGCGCGCGCGCGAACGCTCTTCGTGGCGGATTGGGCGGAAAAGCCGGATTGGATCGACGCTGATCGCGTGGTGCGAGCGCCGGCGAGCGTGATGAAGAAGTGCGCCGGGGTAAACAATGGTGACGGGTTGGATTTGATCGGGGAGTTCGAGATGCCGGAGGTGATGGATGGGAAGTCGTTTGCGAAACGGTTTGCGGGACGGAGGACGACTCGGACGCTGGCGCTGGAGGGAGTACAAGATCCGGGGAATTTAGGGACGCTCGCGAGGACGGCGGTGGCGTTCGGGTGGGACACCGTGGCGTTGCTTCCTGGGACGTGCGATCCGTTTAACGATAAGGCGATGCGCGCGGCTCGAGGGGCGACGTTTCGATTGAACTTTGTGACGTTTGATTCCTTCGACGAGCTCGAACGCGCCGCACGGGAATTGGGGATGGATCTCTACGCCGCGGAGCCGCGAGCAGACGAAGATGTCGATCCTGAGCGCGTCGGTGACGTCGCCAAAGCGTGTTTAGTTCTTGGAACAGAGGGGCAAGGTTTGAGCGATGACGCGCTGCGCGCGTGCAAACCGGTAGCCGTTCCGATGTCGGGAGAGATGGAGTCGCTGAATGTAGCGATCGCCGGCGGCATACTTTGTTACCTTATGCGACTCAGATAACAGAGCGTAAATTAGCAACCATTAGCAGCGTGTATTTTACAATCTAGCGTGTACAGCGAACGATGGAATAAATATGGTCCCGTCACGCCAAACCCGTGGCGTGCGGAACCACTCGAGAGAGAAACGCGTACGTTCCACCCGCTATGAGCAAAAACCCGCTCGTCGGATTCACCCACGCGCTCTTCTCCCTGAGCGACATCACGGATTTCAATCCATCTGTCGCCGTCGCCGCGAACAGAAGCGGCGAGACGTATCCCGACGTGTACGTCAGCAACAGCGCGCCACCAGAGACTGGGTCGCCGCTCGACGCCGCGTACGCTAACAACGTCGCCAAAATCGGTGTCGCGCACGGCGACGCGGCGAGCGCAAACACCGCACCAGCGATGTACGCTTGCGCCACCGCGGGAACGCTCACGCTCTTCGGATCGAAGTTTGCCCCGAAGGATGGAAAAGTAAACTCCAAGACGCCCAATAAATTCAATCCCATCGCGACCGCCAGCGCCGCGGCCGCCGTCGGCAATCCATCCCCCAAACCCTGTCCGTACGCCGCCCCAAACGTCGCCGCGACGATCCCCAACCCCGCCAGCGTGCTCGCTAATCCAAACGAGAACGCAAGACCCATGTTTCGCGTCCGAGTCGTCTTCGCGTCTTGGTCCTCCTCGGCGCCGCCGCCGCCGTATCCGCCAATGTACCCGATCGTCAGCGGCAGCACGCTCAGCGTGCACGGCGACAGCGATGTCACGACCCCCGCCGTGAGGACCGCCGCGTACGTCACCGGCGTCACCGCGCCCGCCTCTAACACGTCGGCGCCGATCGCGGCATCGAGAGAGTTTGTAAAATCGAAGAGCGCCACGTCGAACGAGCGCGTCTTCGTTCGCTCGCCGACTCGCTCTCGCGCGGTGCGCGTGAGGTTCGATCGACGGATGCGTCGAATGGGCGCGCGGGGAGAGGACGCTTTCGCACGCGAAGGGGCGAGGAGCATGGCGCGTGAATGTGTGAGGACGGCGCGCGCGGTCAGGCGGAGAGAGCGGTCGAGCGAGAGATAGAAGGGAGAAGTGAGACGGTCGTGGAAGGTGTCGATCACCAGATTACATTACAAACTCTCTCGATGTGCGCGCGTCGGCGGCGACGCGCGCGGTCGCGAGTGACTGGCTGGCGCGCGGGGCCTAGGTGCGCACGACGACGGCGCCCGATTTCGTGTGGTATCGAACGCCTTGGGTCGGTTTGTACTTTTCGTTGCGCACCTGGAGCGTCTCTACCTTGATCCCGCTCACGCCAGCCCCCGGAACCTTGAAGGAAGCGGTGATGTCGACCACTTCTTGTAAGTGCACACGCCTGGACGCGCCGTCGGATTTTGAACCGGCGGACGGCGTCGCCTCCTCTTCCTCGTCTCGCATGTTCACCTGCACGGAGAGGCACGGAGTCTTATCCGGGGGGAACTTCGGGATCGACCAGCGAACCGTGTTGCTCGCGACGTCGAATGTCGCCTCGCCGTGCGTTGCCGATGGGTCCGCGCTCAACACTCGCGAGGGAAGACGAACATCCAGCGACACGGATTCGACGGGTTTCTCAAACGCCGGCTTGGAGCCGACGACGACGCTCACCCTACCGTGCGACGCCCCGAACGCGCTCTGCGGACGAATGTACAATGGTAGAGGTACCGAGCTCGGGTTATCGGAGTTCGCCGTCTTGAGCCACGGATTCGCCTTGATGTACCGAGGTTGCCACTGATTCGGATCTTGCTTGCTTGACGGCGGACGCACCTTGTAAGACATCAACACACTCTTACCGTCTGCAGGGACGAAAGAGACCACGCGATCGCTAGCGAAACGAGACAGACGTACACTCGGATGAAAGTTGTATTCATCGATCAAGTGCGAGTTGCTCAGCGTGAGGTTGATATCTGGCATGCCGCTCAGACGAGAGTTCACCTCGATTGAGCCGTACACCGCCGACGACAACACCTTACCCTCCGCGTCGATCGTCGCATCGATGGACTCGATGAGATCCAGATAGATCTCGTTGCTCGCGTACTTGATATTATTCGATCTCCACGGCAGGGGCAGCAGCTTGAGAGGATCTTGATCGCTCACGATGATGCCCTGGTTCCCCATCACCGTCGACGTCACTCGATTGTACAGATTCGGCGGCGGCACCAGCACCTTTAGCCCACCCGCGTGCATATTCACCGGCACTCCACTATCCACCATTTCATCCAACAGCTGATACAGCGTCACGTGATGCTCCTGCAGCACCGCCTCGGTGACCGAGTCGCCGAAGTACGCGCGCAAGACGTCGTACAACTGCGACAAAAACTCAATCATGAGCAACGGCGACGTCTCCCTCGAGCACGTCGCCGCGTACGTGATCTCCCCTCGGGAGATGTGAAACCCATACGAATCCTGATCCGCCACGCACGCATCGCCCTCGACGCCGTTCCGCGCGCTGTCTCTTCGCGCCTCGAAGACGCGTTCGCAGATTTCGCTCGACGTGATCGCCCCCCAGTGCTTCACCGCGACCAAGGACTCCGTGCGGTTGTTCAGCACGAACAACGAATCGACCCCCATCGCGCGCGGTCTTCAGACGTCCCCTCGCCTCGCTCGTCGCCCCGCACGACGCGCGCACGACGATCGAACGACGGTTTTCGTTCGATCGCGCAGAGTCTCCCAACACGATCGAGCCCGCGTCGAATGATCCCGCACTCGCGCCTCGATCGATCGTTCGCGCGCGCCGACGTCTTCGCGCGCTCGAGCACGCGATGTACCGATCGCCCGCGCGCGGCACCGCGCTCGGTCGCGCGCGTCGGCGTGTGACGACGAGTCGATCGTGATGTCGTCCTGGACCATTTTTCCACCCGTTGTTCCGTCTCGCACGCGTCCACCGCACACGCGCGCGCGGCATGGCGCTCGACCTCGCGCGCGTCACGCTCGCCGTGCTCGTCGTCGTCCTCGCGCTGCGCGTCGCGGACGCGGTCGTCATCGCGCGCGTCGTGCGAGCGACGAAAAAGATCGCGCACTGGGCTCGACGAGAGATCATCCTCGCGCTCGGCGGTGCGGCGCGCGCCGAGCGATTCGTCCCGGTGTTGGGGCACACCGTGGCGTTGTTCAAGGCGGTGGGGAGGTATCCGTGCACGTGGGACCTGTTCGCGACTTGGGGGACGACGGCGGCGCCGCGGCCGGCGCGGGTACAGATTTTCCAACGCCACTGCGTCGTCGTCGCGGACCCTGAGCTGGTGAAGCGGGTGATGCAGACGAATTTAAAGAATTACAAAAAGGATACGGAATTTTCGTACGAGCCGTTTCTGGAGATTCTTGGAACGGGGTTGGTGACGAGCGAGGGGGAGACGTGGCGGGCGCAGCGGCAGCGCATCTCGAGCGCGCTGCGCATTGAGATATTAGATGACATCATCGCCATCGCGACGCGAGCGGTGAATAGACTGTCGGATAAGTTGGAAAAGGTTCGAGGAAAGGGCGAGGCGGTGGAGCTCGCGGAGGAGTTTCGGTTGTTGACATTGCAGGTCATCGCCGAGGCCATCCTGAGCCTGACTCCGGAGCAGAGCGACGAGGTCATGCCCAATCTTTACCTTCCCATCATGGACGAGTGCAATCGAAGGAGTTTAGAACCCTGGAGGAAGTTCCTGCCGACTCGGGAGTGGCGTGAGCATCGTAAGCGCGTCGCGGCGCTCAACAAATATATTGTTGACCTCATTCGCGTTCGATGGAAGAAGCGCGTTTCAGGCGAGACCAACCCAAATCCAGACATCCTCGATCGCGTTCTCGCGTCCGTTGAAATGGAGGAATACGGATCGGATGTCGAAGAACAAATGTGCTTCGAGATCAAAACCTTCTTACTCGCCGGGCACGAGACGAGCGCGGCAATGCTGGTTTGGACCATCTACGAGTTAGTGAAGAATGAAGATAAGATGACCGAGGCTGTGGCCGAGGCGAACAAGGTGCTCGGCGCCGTGAAGCCTGGGAATCTTCCGACGCGCGATGAGCTCGCGCACCTCGACTACTGCGTGTCCGCGTTGAAGGAGACCCTCAGACTGTACTCTGTTGTCCCGGTGGTCACCAGACGCGCCGTCGAGGACGATGTCTTGGGAGGATGTAAGATTCCAAAGGGCACCACGGTCATCATCAGCCTGCAAGGAATCCACCATCGCGAGGATCTATGGCCAAACGCGATGTCCTTCGAGCCCGAGCGCTTCCTCAATGGCAAGGGCGACGAGATCGGGAACTACGCCTACTTGCCCTTCATCCAAGGTCCGCGCAACTGCTTGGGACAGTACTTGGCCTTGTTAGAGGCGAGAGTCGTCTTGGCGACGCTCATTAGGCGATTCAAGTTTAAAAGTGCGAGCGCGAACAACGGGAAGAAGCACACGAAGGCTATTCCGATCGCACCGGCAGACGGCATGTGGTTCACGGTCGAATAGGAGGCGCGTGCGGCGTGCGAGTCAGGAGAGTCGACTTGTCATTATTATTTGAGTTGCCAATGCACGTCATTATGCTGCGAAGAGAGATGCAGTGTTTGAATTACGCGTCGTCGGGCTTACCTGCGTACCCGTACGGGTTCGAGCTCGCCCACTTCCACTGATCGATGCAGCAGTCTTCGATGGTGCGAAGTGCACGCCAACCGAGAACCTTGAACGCCTTATCTGTCGCCCCGTACACCTCTGCGGCGTCACCTGCGCGACGATCGACAATCTTGCACGGAATTTTCTTACCGGACGCCTTCTCGAACGCCGCGACGAGCTCTAAGACGCTCGTGCTCTTCCCCGTCCCGAGGTTGACGGTGAGCAAACCGGCGTCGGGATCACTCGTGAGTTTCTTTACCGCCGCGACGTGTCCGTCGGCCAAATCGACGACATGAATGTAATCACGTCGACCGGTTCCATCCTTGGTTGGATAGTCGTTCCCAAACACGTTGAGCTCGGGTCGTCGACCGACGGCGACTTGCTGCACGAATGGCATCAAGTTATTCGGGATTCCCTTGGGATCCTCCCCCAGCGTCCCACTCTCGTGCGCACCGACCGGGTTAAAGTATCGCAACAGCGCCACCTTCCACTCCTTATCACTCACGTAGAGATCGCTCAAAATGTGTTCGATGAACAACTTGGTCCGTCCGTACGGGTTCAACGCCGCCGTCGGGAAATCTTCCGTGCACGGCACCGACGCCGGCTCCCCGTACACGGTCGCGCTCGAGCTAAAAATAATCGTCTTACACCCGTGTTTCGCCATCGTCTCGCACAGCACCAGCGTGCTCACGATGTTATTCTCGTAATACTTCATCGGCTCGGCCACGCTCTCGCCCACCGCCTTCAACCCGGCGAAGTGTATCACCGCATCGAACGTCACCCCCGCCGACGCGAAGACGCCATCGAGCGCGACTTTATCGCAGCAATCAACCTCGTGGTGCGTCAAACGCGCCCCCGCGTCCTCGCCCACGATGTTTCGCACGCGCTTTAAAGATTCCGCGCACGAGTTGTCAAAGTTATCCACGACGGTGACGCGCGCGCCCGCTTGCAGGAGCCGCACGCACGTGTGCGAGCCGATGTATCCGGCGCCACCGGTGACGAGGACGTTCCACGTCATGCGCGCGCGACGCGGTGGTGGACGAGTGCGGCGTCGAGGGCGCGGGCGCGCGATCGGGTGCGCGAGTGCGTGCGTCGTCGGACTGTTTGCCCACATGAAAAGTGCACGACCGGGACATCATCGCGCGCGCGCGGCGTCCGCGCGTCGCGACGCGCGCGCGCTCGGACCTCTGCGCGCGATGGACGTCGCGCGCATGGACGTCCCGGCGTTCGACGACGCCGAGGACGCGCGCGGGCGAGGGGCGAGGACGACGGCGACGATGGCGGTGGCGGCGGCTCGAGACGCGTCGAACGCGCGACGGGCGCGCGCGCGGGGGACGACGGGCGAAACGGGACCGCGAACGGGCGAGAGAGACGATGGTGATGCGTCCGAACGTCGAGCGGGGGATGGGACGACGGCGCGCGGGGGTCGGGACGGGACGCGGGTGGCGGCGGCGCGCGGGCGGGACGGGCGCGACGCGCCGAGCGGGAAGGCGTTGGGACGACGACGACGGGCGAAGGAGAAGCGGAAGCGCGCGGCGGAGGCGCGACGCGTGGCGCGTGGGGGTGTTGCGGGTGAAAACACGGACGAGGGGGATGGGATGAAGAAGCGAAAGAAGAAGGAGAAGGCAAAGGAGAGGGAACCGGCGGCGCCGAGCGCGCAGCCGAGAGCGGTGGTCGAGCCGGAGGAATCGAGCGACTACTCCGAGGAGTTGCTTCCCGATCGTGATCCACTCGTCGTGAGCGAGGCGCAAAGCGTGCCGAGGAGAGATCCGCCGAAGGCGGTCAAGAAACCACAGGGTGCCAAGAACACGCTCGCGGACAAAATGCGCGCCAAGCTCAGCGGCGGGCAGTTCCGCATGCTGAACGAGCGCTTGTACACCACCACGGGGGCCGAGGGGTTGGCGCTGGTGAAGGAATCTCCTGAATTATTCGACGCCTACCACGTTGGGTTCCGTGCACAGGTTGAATCGTGGCCGACGCTTCCCGTGCGCGTCGCCGCTCGATGGTTGGAAAAGTGCCCCAAAAAGTGGGTGGTGGCCGATTTTGGGTGCGGCGACGCCGAGCTCGCGCGTTCGATCGAGCAAAAGTGTTGGTCGTTCGATTTACAAGCCCCTGAACACGCCCCGGAGGTTATTGCGTGCGACATGTCTCGCGTGCCTCTCGACGACGAGAGCGTCGACGTCGCCGTTTTCTCCCTCAGCCTCATGGGTGTCGATTACGGCTCCTTTCTGGAGGAGGCCCACCGCGTGCTGAGAGTCGGTGGCGCTCTGTGGATCGCCGAAGTCCGATCCCGATTCGACGGTCGCGACGGTGCGGCGACGATCCCGTCCTTCACCGCGGCGCTCAAATCCCTCGGATTCGACCCGAAGCGCGACCCGGATGAGCGAAACGTCATGTTCTTCACCTGCGACTTTATCAAATCAGAGCGCGCGCCGCCCGAGCGCGGCGCCGTGCGCTGGCCCAGGCTCAAGGCGTGCACGTATAAAAAACGTTAGACCACAATAGAGCTCTAGATTCAGTGACATCACGCGCTCGCGGCGTCGCGCATCGCTCTCCTACGCCCCTCTCGATTCGCGCGACTCTGGCGCGAGCTGACATCTCATCATTCATTCCTCATCGCCCCTTCATCGCCGCATTCCGAGACGCGTGTCGCGCGCGCACCGCCCGCTCGCGAACGTGTACGGATGTCGCGTCGATGCGTTCGAGCGCTCGCCCGTCACGCGCTCGCGAACGCGTGCGCGAGCGTCGAGCGCGCGGCGCCGCCCTGGCGCACCGCGTCAATCTGCCGCGTCTCTTCGCGCGCCTCCGCGCTCGCGACGCGCTCACGAGGCGCGTCGACGATACCCGCGTCTGATTTACTCACCGAACGCGAGCGAGAGAGAATCGCGAGCGATTTGCGAGCGATGGCGACGCGAAAGATGGATTCGGACGGCGCGCACGGACGCAGGGTGGCGCTCGTGCCGCTCGGGACGTACAACGACGATCCGTGCGTGGTGATGACGGTGAGCGAGGACGGAATGCGAGGTGGGCAGACGTGTGCGTTACCGAGCGCGGCGGTGGAGGAGGACACGCTGTTAGAGAGCGCGAGCGTGGCGACGACGAGCGCGGCGAGGCGGGCGGAGAAGGCGCTGTTCGGAACGTCGAGCGAAGGATCGAGAGGCGGAAGGGGTGATTTCTTAGGAGCCTCGCACGACGTCGCGGACGTGAAGGGACGGACGATTGTGACGCCGGTGTTGGCGTATTTAGGGGAGATCGCGGACCTCGTTCGAGGGCGCTCAGACGTCGCGGCGATTTCGCTGTCGACGCTCATGTCGCTCGAGGGCGTGGCGGCGGATCCGAAGGGGGATGGCGTTCGGTTCGTCGGCACGCTTTCGGCGCGAGGTTTGGAGGGTTATGAGGCACAGGTGTTACACAACGCCCTGCGCGTCGTCGCCGGCCCGAACAGGGCGTACAAGGAGGCGCTGTACGATCAATTCGTTCCCGGATACGTGCGGCAGTCGCCGCCAGCACCGCCGTCGCCGTACGCCAAGACAGACGGCCACGATCGCGCCATGGGGTGAGATGGACGATTCGGTAACGTGTGTCATTTATGTTTTTCTATCTAGTTTAGTGTTTCAACGTCGCATCACCTCGAATCGAGGCTTTTATTAATTCACAGTCAAGCCGTCTAGTCACCGAACCCGCGTTTGCTCGTCTCGCGCGCGAGCGCGCGTCTCACCTCCGCCACGGCCGCTCGAACCCCATCAACGCGCTGTATAATGGCATGGATTCGTTCATCGATCGCGTTCGACCGTTCGCGCTCGCCGACGACTGGAATCTCCGTCGCGAGCCTTCGCGACTCGCCGAGTCCGCTCCCGACCGTCCCCAACGACGTCTCCTCGGCATCGATCGGCGGTCGCGTTGACGCGAGCACATCCACAAACCGCGCGCTCCACATCTCGGGCGCCTCTCCCGGCGCGCTCGATCGCTCTCGCGTCCGCCGTCCGTCCTCGCGTCCTCGCGCCGCCGCCGCCGCCGCCGTCGCCGCGCCGCCGCCGCCCCGCGCCATCGCCCGCTCAATCTCATCCAACTCCGCGTCCAGCGCGCTTTCGGTGAGACACGCGTCGACGTCGTCCACCTCCCCACCCTCGCGCGCGCGCGTCGTCGTCGTCGTCGCGCCAGGCCACCGCCCGTCCCGGTCGTCCTCGCGAATGTCATCCGTCACCGCGCGCGCGCCATCATTCGTCCATCCCGCGTCGCCCCCCCTTTGTCCGCGCGCGCACAGCGCCCGAATCACCGCGCGCACCGATCCGTCGGCGTCCATCCCTCGCGGGCGCCGCGTCGACGCCTCGGCGTCCGTCGCGCGCCGCGTTCGATGTCGATGCGAACGACAACGGCGTCGTCGTGACCCAAAAAAGACCACATGG